TTAAGCCCCAGATGGGTGCTTTATTCCAAGACAGACTGGCCGCCTGGCCGTCGGTCGTAACATAACTTTGATTTTGATCCAGTTAGTTGTCAGTTGACAGACAGTTAGTCGGGAGGCTGTGAAGCCGAAGAATCTCAACTGTTAGAAGCCGTTGCCAGGGAACAACTGGAAGAGTTTTAGCGGGTGCTGGTGGCGCTGCAGATGCTTGCGTTTCCGAGCTGTGCGTGTGAGTGGTCAGTGAATCCAGACCAGTCTCTAGTCCGTACGTTACATGACCGCTACAAACACACAGACTCACTCTATGTGAGCAGAATGGAGAGGTGCTTTAGCGTATACCCTTCGTTGTGGTGTCACAGACATTTCTGTGCCGCTCGCAGGTGTGACGTCATGTCGGGCTCAGCATTCCCTAATTAATATTACGCGATGTGGCAGCAATTAGTAACGCTGTAAACCGCGATATAAGGACGGTAGCAGATATTCGTTTGAACCAATAAATTTGATGCACTGAGAATCTCCTCCGCCGGGGGGGGGGCCATTGATGAGAGTCAGGCAGTGTTGCAGAATGTCAGTCTGTAACGAAATGTTCCTGTTCATCACGTGTGCTTGTTTCTAGTTCGCAAGTCTCAGCTTTAACCGGCCGGTCGTTGTTGTGGAGACACGAGATCTTATTCCGGAGATTCCTAGTTCATAACTCGGCAGGGATATCGACTATCCTGACTGAGGATTTCTGTGCCTTTCCTCACTCCCTGAAGGGAAATGCTAGGATAGTAGGCCTAGGTAAAATTATTACACATCGTTTCCAAGCCATGCTAAATCCACGGAGAAGAGTTTCTTGAAGAAGCTGATAGTCGCTTACTTACTTGCCCTTTATGCAACTTGAACGTTCACTGCTCTGTCCATAAGAGACTGGTACTTCGATTTGAATTCATTTGCGGCGCTGCTAGTGGTGCAAATGGCTCGACAGAATACTCAATAATAAATTGGAAAGGATGTGAAATTAAGCGGCCGTTGACTAATTTCAGGCATAACAGCGCTGCATTTTCCTAAGTGTCTGAGGAAAACCAGGAAGCAGCTGAGTGAAGGCGGTCGCTGTGCTCGCCTTCTCGCTACCTGTTCCACATGTGCCAGTCTTGCATGGATTTGTGGCGTCAGTATCGATTGGGCGATAGAATATCCAATGTCTTTTTTTCCTTGGCCTGTCCTTAGGTCTTCACCCTTCCTGACCTCACTTTTGACGACTTTCATACAGAATCTTGACGTCAGATCCTGGGGTGAACATGAGCTCCCTTCTGGGTCTGCTCGTGCAGCTGACTTCAGCGGAAGTCCTTTGTTATGTAATCCGATTTAGTCCAATATTTCATTTCCATCATTAATTTCTTCTTAAAATACTTTCCTCCTTGCGTCATCTCCTGAGCCGGGGGCTTAAATATGAAAAGCAAAAGGGAGGGTGTAGCCGGGCAATAGGCAGCTGGTGGGGGTGTATAGGGGAGGTGGGGGTAATGCTTCACGTATTCTGGGTGTGTTTTCGTTGGGTATGTCTGCGAATTTGACAGCAGGCTGGCTGAGCCCAGAGTGGCGAACGGAAGACGAACGTGTATCGGGAATCGAACCACGTTTTTCATCCCGTAGAGAGACAGTGTAACAGACTTCGCTTTCCCAGCTCACTTACATATACATATGTGCATGCTATATAAATCTGAGTAAAGCAGAGTCTTTCTTGAGAAACTTATAGTCGCCCAGCTAGTGAAGAAATGCCTCTCCTTTTGCGAAACTGTAATGTTGACGGGCGAGCTCCACTGGTCCCTGTCCTCTTGACGTTATCGCGGGCTACATGCTGCACACAGTGACACTGTTCAGTGCCTGCCTGGTCCGATTTCACGCACACAACACCGGCCGTGCACCTGCCTGCAGGCAGAACTGCGTAAACAGGCCTGTTCTGTCAGGTTAAGCGTCACCACCTGACTACATGCACCGTACTATCACCATCTGGTGATACAGTGAAGGCATATCACCTCACAGAACCGAATGTGAAGGGTTGACTGCATCAGCCAGCATTATTTGGATGACCAAATTAAAGGAACGTGCGATGGGCAGAGCATGTAGCACTTGTTTGAAAGATGAGAAGTCCTTAATAAATCTTGGTTGGAAAACCTGGAGGGAAGAGGCCACTTTGAAGACCACACCGTAAATGCAAGAGTCCAAAAGAAGATATGCTATTTCTGGTGGAGAAGGAACTTGGTATCATGAGCTGCTTTGAAGCTGGCGGCACAAACACCGGGAAACAGTATGTCCCCCGAGAAAGAGCTCTCACTGTTTGCAGAAAGCGCTGCAGACAGTCAATACTTTTGAGGATGTTCATTTCCCGGAACTTAATGGAGTTGACACAGGTCGCCTGCTTGGCATTGCTCACGGAACGAGGGGCAGAAAATTGTAATTAGTTTCTAAGAATAGAAGATCCTTAATGAATGCTGAATCAGAACCCACACTGACACAGTCTGTTACAGTTTTTGATTGACCACCGAAATAATTTTATTTATTTATTTCGATGACACTAAACGCAAGAGCCCATACTGTGGTCTTCTATATTATGACGCCGTGCAGTGTGGTGGATGGGTACCGATGTTTCGGAGGAATATCCGTCTCGATCTCTAGCGTGGGTTGAGAGCGCCGATTTGTTGCTACTTCCAGCTTCAAGACAAAAGTTCTGCAGTACTGTAGTTTCGTAGTTTATTATCGGCGTTTCGGAGGCATTTACTGCTCCCACCTCAGGGTAGAAGTCACTGCCTCTGCTGATACCGAGATTCTTCTAATTGATACAAATATGCCGTTAGTGCCTGCGGGTTCGAAGTCCGGTGTTTGATTCCCAGCAGGGTCACATGACGGTCTTGCATGGGCTCACATAGTCTTAGTCTGTCGCGTTTTCCCAGGGAATTACACATGCTTGGAACTCACTACTGCCTCCCTGTTCCGGGATCTGGAAGCAGTGGAGTAGGGTCACGTAAACGCGTTTGACTGGGATCGGATAAGAGTGACGGACACGATGCATGAAGAGTCACGCGCAGTTCTGCGCGGAAATTGCATATTGCAGAGAAAACTGCTTGGAACACCGACCGTAGAGAGAAATGAATCTCCAATAGGCTTCCTGCATTTCGGAAATAATTAAACAACAGTGATGTTATGTTTTAGAACTTGTATATTGAGCGATCGACCTTGACCTAATGCCTGCTTTAGACTGTCATCTTGTGGCATGTGACGGTGTGTGGTCTGAGAGACACCGACGTTTCGGAGGAAAGTATAGTAAGCCGAGTAAGCAGACGGCAAACATTTCTTTTTAGCTTTGTTGAGTGAGGTGAGTCGAGTCCACTTGGTACCTCGGCCAGTCATGTACCAACCCCGGTGTAATGAGAATTGGCAGGGTAAACCGAAGTATCCGTAGGAAACCTGCACCAGTGCCACTTTGAGCACCACAAATCCCACGTGACTTGGCCTGGGATCGAACCCGTGCCGCCGCGGTGGGAAGCTGGCGACTAACCGCCTGAGCTATGGTGCAGCCCTTGAATAATCAGGCGGTATGTTCCTCCGAAACGTCAGTAGAAGTTGCATCACAGTACATGGTGTCAGAACTCAGGTGACAGTAGCCACGTCTGTAGCAGTGCAATTAGCGTGTTCTGATTGTCGAGTTCGGCACAAACAGATCAGTGCCCCTGGAGAGCGGTGGGGTATGATACCGGACTTTGACTGCAGTGACGTATAAAGTGATTGTTGTGCACGAGATACGTTGAAATCAATTTCCGTTTGGTTCAGTGGACTTGCCGAACTCCCCCCCCCCCCCCCACCTATGGTCC